GTTGCTCTCCGCTATGCTTGGACCACATGGCCTTGTGAATATAAGCAGTGTCCCCTATACCACCCCAGCAGTGCCCTGCCAGCCCCTCCCTTCATTACTTTCATTACAGACCAGGGTTCTGGACATCAGAGCAATGTTGCTAAATGACTGTTTCAATATGATCAGAACTTAGATATAAGGATGGGTCCTTCAGATTTTAGCATTTAGGAGTTTCAATAATAACCATTGCTTTTAAAGGAAATTAATAGAAAGCCTCATTGAATGGCTTCCAGCTAGCACATGGCTGTTTCTATATTCTGATGAGCCCAGGCTGGTAGGTGACTTGAAATGCTTGCTTTTTTTGTCCCCTAGTTAGTCGAAGGGTCTGTATTGGACTAATTCTGAACTACAGACAAATTGGACCTCAATGTCATTCACTTCCCTCATATTAATGGGAGTGAAATATCTAATACTTTTGCTCCTTGTTATCCAGAGTTGTGGGATCTCAGGATTGGAAGATTGTAAAGGCCGCATAGCCCAGCTAGTGTTCTTGTGTTCTTTTTTTTTTGAGACGCAGTCTCGCTCTGTCGCCCAGGCTGCAGTGCAGTGGCTGGATCTCAGCTCACTACAAGCTCCGCCTCCTGGGTTTACGCCATTCTCCTGCCTCAGCCTCCCGAGTAGCTGGGACTACAGGCGCCGCCACCTCGCCCTCGTGTGTTCTTTACAAAATTTCTGACAGGTGGTTACTGAATCTCTGTATGAACTTTCCATTAAAACTTTCCAAGTTTTTCCTTATGTGGAACTGAAATCTGTCTCCTGTGAAACTACTACTATCGGAGTCTTTCATATAATTGAAGACAGATCTCTTTGTATTCTCTTCAAGCCCAAACCAATTCTGTTCCTTCAATGTAAATAATGATAATATGAATGTTTAAGAAATAGAAAACATGTACAGGCACTTTGGGAGGTGCTAAGTGACTGCCCTAAGGAATGAAAAGCAAGGGCCAGGTGGGAGTAGCCCAGGGAAGGCACTTGGGCTGCCAGGAACAGGAGGGACGGGAAACTCTGGCTTAGGAAAACATGAACATAGGGGCAACAGAAGCAAATGTGTTGTTTGAGTTAAATATAAATCTCAGGCTCTTTAAAGGTAAAAGGTTTAAGGATAATCCATTTGGAAGAAAAGAGAGAGTGAGGCTGAAAGTAAAGCCACATGACAAGCATATAGAAAAATAATGCAGATGATATAAACATGAAAGAGACCTTTTGTGTTTATTATTAAAAATCTTAATGCAGTTTACTGATGGATTAAAAACAGTTAACGGTGCCTGAAAATTATGTTACCTATTAGAAGCTGGAAATAAAAGCATAATCACTAGTGATGTGTATATATTTGTATCCAGTCAAAACTTGCAAATTGTCCTTGAAGCGTGTGAAAAGGAACAAGAATGCTATCTATGGGTAGCTTTCCTCCCCTTAATGTGAAAAATGAGAACTAAAGCAAAAAGCATCACTCACTCTACATATACAATGTATTTTACGTAGTGTAAAAAATATGGTTTAGGTAGTGAATATATTAATGAAATAATATGTAAATTTATTTTTAGTGGCTGAATAATTTAAAACATTATGTGGAATTCACTCTATTTCCCCCAATTTAGGAACTGTTTACTGTTTGAAAATGAAATTTATAATCACTCTGTAGAGTGAATGATGGTTTTTGCTTTGGTTCTACCCCTCTATAGAATTCCAGGGGATTCTGGTGTAGCTCCAAACAGGAATAAGTTTGTCAGTGCCAAGATTTTATTTAGTTAAAAAACAAAAAATCTGCACACTTTACAAGGAACTTTGGCTCCCCTGAGGACTTCCTAGCATTCAATTCATTCAGTTAACTCCTGTTGCCCATGCTTTGACCTCTCGTGCATCTGGCCCCATAGAAACCATGAACCTCGGCCGGATGCGGTGGCTCAAGCCTGTAATCCCAGCACTTTGGGAGGCCGAGAGGGGTGGATCACGAGGTCAGGAGATCGAGACCATCCTGGCTAACACGGTGAAACCCCGTCTCTACTAAAAAATACGAAAAACTAGCCGGGCGAGGTGGTAGTCCCAGCTACTCAGGAGGCTGAGGCAGGAGAATGGCGTAAACCCGGGAGGCGGAGCTTGCAGTGAGCCGAGATCACGCCACTGCACTCCAGCCTGGGTGACAGAGCCAGACTCTGTCTCAAAAAAAAAAAAAAAAAAAAAAAAAAGAAACCATGAACCTCATAACAGATTGATGCCTGAGGAAAAGTCAATCTACATGTCCACTCCTCCACCCCCAATACACATACCCCCATTGGCTGTTCTAATTCAGGGGCAGCTAGAGGTAGCCAAGAACTCTAAGTCCAGGTTCCTTTCACCTCCAGGAACCTAGAATACATAGTGTGAAAAATATGGTTTAGGCAATGACTATGTTAATGAAGTCATGTACATTTATTTTTAGTGGCAGAATAATTTAAAACATTATGTGGGAATTCACTGTATTTCCCCAAATGTAATAACTTTTTAGTTTTAAAATGAAATTTATAGGCACTGTAGAAAATCTGGACATTAAAGTATAAGCAAGTAAAAATCACCCCCAAATTCATCATTCAGAGAAACTATTTTGCTGAACTGTTCACTTGATTTGAGTTATACGCTACGTATTATTTTGTAATCTGTGTTTTTGACTTACTTTACCAAAATAATTTTCTTATGTAAATATAGATTTAGAGTGTTTCAGTTTGTGGAAGCCTCATTTTATTTAACCAATTTCCTATTAATGGACATATGGATTTTTAAATAATTTTCTGCTATTAAAATAATACTGTAATGAATATCACATGCAAACATCATACCACACTCGTCCATACCACATACTATTTCTTAGGGTCCTTAACGTGGAAGGGGATAAATATATATTTAAAATTTTGATACCTACAGCTTAACCCTCCCAAAGGATTAAACAACTTACATTCTCACCAAGGAAGTCCTTTTGTTCCCTGACCTTCATTGACACTGGATGTTGTTAAAATAAAAAAAATCGTTAACAATCTGACAGATGAAAAGATAGTTTAAGTATACTATGGCAGTGTTTTTCTATTTATTTTATTTTATTTTTTTGAGATGGAGTTTTGCTCTGTCGCCCAGGCTGGAGTACAGTGGTGCGGTCTCGGCTCACTGCAACCTCTGCCTCCCAGGTTCAAGTGAATCTCCTGCCTCAGCCTCCCAAGTAGCTGGGACTACAGGTGCCCACCACCACGTCTGGCTAATTTTTTGTATTTTTAGTAGAGACGGGGTTTCACCGAGTTAGCCAGGATGGTCTCGATCTCCTGACCTTGTGATCCACCTGCCTCGGCCTCCCAAAGTGCTGGTATTACAGGTGTGAGCCACTGTGCCCGGCTTTTCAAGTTTCTTAAATCCATGATCCATAATAAAAACATTTTACACATATCTCCATACAAGTATATGTATATGTGGTGTACGTACACACTATAGTTGTATACGCATTATAGTTGAAAAAACAGTGTCAACCTTTCTCCGTGTGATACATTCCAAAAATTGTAGATGTCTGTCTAAAATGAGGCTCTTTTAATATGGGTATTACTCAGGCTGTAATAGTGGGAAAATATTTGTTATATGAAAAAAGCAGCACGTACCATTTCTGTGTTAAGTGCCAGTATGCGCAAGCAATTTATGCAGAGAAAAAAAAACCACATTAACATTTTAAGCAATCCCCTTCCCACCCGATTCACTATGATAGAAATGTTGTTTCTTTTACATTGTAAAATGTGTACAACTTATAAAAAAACTATACTCCAAATCATAAGATACCAGTTAACTTGGCTTCTGAGTTTACACCGGCCAGTGTGGTGTGCTCTCAACACTGCTGCCTGATCCCTCCCTCTGCTGGCAGATTTATTACTATAAAATACCAATCCCATTTGTGTTGTCCTCAGCTGGCAATTATGAATGGTAGTGCATTAACCATTTCATTCTCACCACTCCATCCCCATTCTTCTGGGTCCTTTTGTCCCTCCCTTTCCACACAGCCTTTGGCAACCTGGTGATAGGTACCTAAGGCATCCCACAGGTAGTGCTGAGTTGTTAGGTGATACAGTGAACCTCTACCTTAATGCTATTAACAGGGTCCAAAAATCCAGTTGCATGGAACATGGAGTTATATTACTACATGGCTAATGAAAAGACAGGACTAAGTCTCTTACAGAGGATGGGACTCACCCCCAACTATATGTGAATTTGTGTTATCATATGGTTTCAATGTATTGAGCTTTAAAAAGCACATTCTCTGAGGTGCGATAACGAAGGGTTAAAGAAGGATGTGCAAAATGTGAAGAAAAAGATGAACAGTGGACCTTAGACTGGACTTTCCATCTTGAGTTTACGCAGAAGATTGGATTTTGATGATACTGACGTGAAAATAAAGCAGCAGCCTGGGCTGCAGGGGCTGGGACTTGATATCCCTTGAATTAGGATCAGAATCAAGAGTAGAAGTTTGTCAGAACCTCCCTATCTCCCTCATTAGCTGCTGCTATAGACTTAATGTTTATGTCTCCCCCAAATTCATAAGTTAAATCCTAACCCCCAATGTGATGGTATTGGGAGGTGGGGCCTTTGGGAGGTGATTAGGTCATGAGGGCAGACCTTCATGAACGGGCTTAGTGCTCTTATAAAAGAGACCCCGGAGAGCTGCCTTCCCCTTCTACCACGTGAGGACACAGCAGGAAGACGGCTGTCTAAGAACTAGGAAGTGGGGCCTCACCAGACATTGAATCTGCCAGCACCTTGAACTTGGACTTCCCAGCATCCAGAACTGTGAGAAATAAATTCATGTTATTTATAAACCACTCTGTCTATGGTATTTGTTGTAGCAGCCTGAATAGACTAGACAGCAGCTCTCTATCACTCTTGTTTGTAAGAGGCTGAAGTTGACTCTACCTCAGGCACAGCTAAGCAAAAAAGATTATATCCTGATTACAACAAGATGAAAATAAACAGAATTGACAAGAGAAATTTATTACTAAAAATAAAGCAGCTGAAATTTTTCCCAGGGAAAACCGTCACTACAGGACCCTCCATGATGAAATATGTGAATATCTTCTTTACTTCTGAATTGCTGCCTTCTTCCATATACCCAAAATTTCAGTTTAAATTAATTACGATGAAAACGATGTGGCATCTGATCCCTTCTTGTTCACTCTGAAGACTGAATTGGGCTACCCTGTGATGGAGACTTCAAGTGCTGCAGGTGAGTATCTGCCAAGGGTTCATGTGTCAGGTACGTGGGCTGGTAAGAAGACACAAAGGCTGCAGGCTGAAGCTCTGGGAGGTCCAAGGATCCTGGGGAAAACAATTCCTTAAGTTCCACTGCTGCTTGGGAGTCTGAGCAGACTGTTTTGGTCAGACACATACCTGTCCTTTCAATCAATTCCTTAACACCCTTGCATTTGACAGCTCAATTTTGCCTTTGTTACGACAGGACAGATACTTTTACAATGAAAACTGGTTGAAACAGATTAAGTGACTTGCCTAGGGTTATATAGCATATTAGGCAAAGAGTGAGAATTTCAATTCCATTTTTTAACCCAGGGTTTTCCCTATATGACCCCAAAGCCTGAACCCTTGATCACTCCACTCATTTGTGGGAGGAATTCATGGAACACAGGCAGGGCCAAGGCCTTCACCTGACCCCACTGACTTCGCTTGAGATGTTGTTCCCTGCACAGTAAACTTTCCCCTGGTGTTCTGCTCCGCTCTTGCTTAGCTTACAGAATAAGCTACCTTCGTTTCTGGGGTACCCTGCCTTACTATGATCGCAGGTGCCCCCCATGACATCTGTGAGTAACCTCGGAAGCTATGCAGGCCGCAGGTCCCCCTCTGACTCAGCACTCTGCAAGGCTGATTCCATGAAAGCTTTTATCACTCAATGCATAGATATTTAGGGTACTCGGCTATGCATGAAGGTGGGAAGGTAGCCTAAACACAGTCAATTTTCAAACCAGAAAGGTAAAGTTAAAGATACCTGGCAGAAGGGGATCATTCTGATCTTCATCAAAGGTCTGTCTCTGAAAGGCTTCAAAGCTCATAGCTGCATCATTCTCTGGCAGCCCCTCAGGTAGCTGCCCGTCTCCAGGTTTGCACACATCAAATTTCACCCACTGGTAACTGCAGAAGCAAGGGAAATCACCCTTGAGAGTTATCTGCTAGACATAAATACCCATTCCTACCTCCAAAGGGATCAGGTAATTTTTCTTTATATTCCTCCCATATATATCTAAAACACATTAGCTAACAAAAACCTAAAAGAAACAAGCAGGACTCTTTAGTGACAAATCATTCTGCGAGATTTCCCACCCCTTTTGCTGTCATGGTACACACATAAAATAGTCATAATCAGAGAACAGTGGAGTCCTGGCTCTTGCTCACCTGTCCAGAAGGCTAAGGGGCCAATACTGAGCCATACTGGTTGAGAAGCAGGCAGGCCTTGGACACAGCAGGTGAGTGAACAAAGTAGTAACTGCCAGTCCCTGGCCGGCTGATCACTGAGCTTTTCTCAAGGGAATGAATTTGACCACACTTACTTGATGCATTTTCGAGCTCCTGGACAGCTCTGGATCAAGTTTTGGATGGCTGGATGAGAAAACCCAAAAAAGTCAGCTCCAGCTGGAAGCAGGTTAGGCATTAGTTTCCCCCTAAACAGGAGAGGGATAATTTTAGTTTGAGAGCTTAGCGGGAGATGAAGATGGGTTTAAGAACAGAATAGTGGTATGAACAAACAGGATAAGCTTTCTTGACTTTGATAATGTGGAGGCTCTAGTTGGTATGACGTCAGGAGGATCCAGGATAGGTTTCCATAAAATGAGGTATCTCATTCAAAGCAAGAGAAAAGGTTTCACTGTACCAACAGTGATCTTTTAGCCTGTTTTCAAGCTTTTGGTCAACTTACATAGTAGCACTTATAGTCCTGAGCAGTTCTGCATGACAAGCATCTGCAGAAGAGCTGACGATGGCATTCTGGGGGTCATCTTCAGGAACAATTTCAAACTGAGAAGGACAAACGAGCAATGAGATCAATTCTCACGAAGGAAGGAAAGAGGGCACACTACTCTGTAAATATTTCTTTACTCTGGAACTCGAAGGTGATGTACACCATCTTCAAAAGGGACACACATACTCTCCTACAGGGCTGCTAACAATTTAAACAAATCCAAGCACCTAGAGAAAGTCCTTGGACTGTTTCAGTTCTACCCTTCTTGGTTGATGGCTTTCCAAAAGTAAGCATTTAATTTCTTATATGCCTTTCCAATCCACTTACTTATATCCTTAAGTACAAATACAAATGGTATTTTAAAAACAAATGAGATCACTCTCCATGTAATCTTCTAAGTCAATTTTACAAGATCTAGGAGAAACAGGCTGACTGCAAACTGCCATTTCATTGTATTTGCTTTCATTTTGAATGTTAAAATATCTTGGTTATATTAATAAAAAGAAACTGTTGCATCGAAATTATACTAATTCTGAGGAATTTTTGCCAAGAAAATATTTTTGTAACAAATGTAACAAGTTAACTAGCTGATTTAATTATTTGGCCAATTTTCTATAAAGCTCAATGATTTTTTTGACAGGAAAATATTTCTGTAACAAGTTCTATCTAGCCAGTTAAATTCTTTGACTAGTTATAAAGTTCAGTTAAACAGTTTCTAGTTCTTCAATGTTTACTTCGGTTGAATTATCCTGAACAGGATTAATTTATTTTCTGTATAATTTTTTAGAATGATATTGAGCACTACTGATTGCTAAAAAAAGTCAAACCAATTTTTACTGAGTATAGGTTCTACTACTGTTAGTTTTCTTCTGTGGTTATTATTTCACTGGATTCAATTTCCTGTGTCAAATTTTAGAGATCTGTCAATTTTGTCAGAAATAAATTCTCTCGTGAGTAGTTTCAGTCAATGGTGGTTTTCTTATTTCAACCAATGGCATATCTTGCCAGGTTAAGATTCTAATGTTTTATATTTATTTCTCAGCTAATAAATGAAAACACTCTTTGCAATTAATTTCTTTTTTTTCTTTTCTTTCTTTCTTTTTTTTTTTTTTTGAGACTGAGTCTTGCTCTGTCGCCCAGGCTGGAGTGCAGTGGTGTGATCTTGGCTCACTGCAAGCTCCGCCTCCCAGGTTTATACCATTCTCGTGCCTCAGCCTCCCCAGCAGCTGGGACTACAGGTGCATGCCGCCAGGCCCGGCTAATTTTGCTGTGAGCAATTAATTTCAAATAGTCCAGGACTGCTCTACTGTTTAGTATCCGTCATGTCAATTTCAATTATTTTTGTACTGAAATTTCTACCTTATTTGAGTAAAGAGCATTAAAGGTAGAAATGTTATACTTTAGTCTTGAAGATACTTCCTTGTTAGTACTAATGTATAAATCTACTTCATTCTTTTAATTGCTGTACATACAAGGGTGGATATATTTTACTTAACCATTTTCTCATGATGGGTATTTAGGCTATTTCTAATTTCTTGCTATTGCAAATACTGCTACAATGTACATTGTTACATGTTACTTGGTTCACATTTGCACATTTCTCTAGGTGCAAATATGTACCTAGTGCAGTCTAGATACTAGACTATCTAGACATATTCTGGGTCAAATGACACACATATTAAAATTGTTGATATTGCCAAGTTGCCCTCCCAAAAGACTACCAATTTTCACTCCTACTAACGAGTACTCGTTTTCCTCCACCTCGGCCAGCACTGGATATTATTAATCCCTCTGATGTGTGCCTATGAGCAAAATAAGATCTCATTTTTGTTTTATTTGCATTTCCCCATTTACTGATGAGGCCCACACTTTACCATCTGCACTGTTTCTGTGAAATGCCTGTGGGTTTTTTTTTTTTTTTTTTTTTAATATTGCTGTTTCTTACTCTACAGAGCACTTTATCTGGTATTAATACTTTGTCATACGTTTTCTTCCTGTTTATTGCTTGTGTTTTAACTTTGATCATGGTGTCTTTTGCCATTCAGAAGTGTTTACATTTTTAATAGTTAAATATGTTATTATGTTCCATTATGGTTTCTAAGTTTCATGTCTTGCTAATAAAGAAAGCTTTTTCACCTCACCCTAAGATTACAAAAAATTCTTTTACATTTTCCTTTAACATATTTATAGAATATTCAATAAAGCTAAAGTAATAAAAAGTCATATTGACATGTATAGACAAATAGATCAATAAAAAGGAATCATCTGGAAACAGATAACAAGAATTACATATATTTAGTGTGTGTGTGTGTGTATATATATATGTGTATATATATATATATATATATATATATAAAACAGCTGCTTGACGTTAGTTGTAACAAAATTTGAAGCTAGATTCCTAGCTCACAAACCTAAAAATAATGTCCAGTTAGGTTAATGACCTAAAAAAGAAAACTAAAAACTCCAGATTCTTCTTTTTCAAAAATGTCTTAGCATTTTGTTTTTCAGAGACAATGAAGAATCAGCTTGTCAATTTCTACTTAGGATTTTGACTAGATTTGCATTGCATTTATAGATGTATTATACATATGGTATACTGTTACAATAATGAGTCTTTCTAAAGAAACTGTTGTATAATGGAGGTCACGTGAGCTCTCAACTATGCCTAACAGTGCTCTGATAGGCGTGATGCAATATTATCTACAAGAAGTCAAGCCGTCTCAGGGTTCTCCCAGCTTCTGCTCAGAGGTTCCTTACCTTGCCTCTACTTCCTTCTACCTTACTTTCTAGGGATCTGTAAGTTCCTCAGTGAAGCTTAGAACTCTGAAAATGGTCTATTTTTTTGTTTTTCCCCAACAATCAGGAGATGATGGTTGGGGAAAATGAACCGTCTCAAATCTTAGCACTGAGAAGGATGAAAAAAGGTATTTAGTAAGACTAGGATTTAAGACTCTCAGGTCCTTAAGAGTATTTGCAGCCAGAAACTAATATGCAACTTCTTTGCTAACTCCATCTTGGTCCAACTTGACATGGCAGTGTATCAAACTAATCTTCCCTCTATTTTGGCCTGTACCTCACATAAGTAGGCTTGATCAAGCCTCACATAGTCACAAAGTCAGCAGCTGAAGTAGCATGGTTCAAGGGAAAAGGGCATCAGTTTTAGAATGAGACAGATAATAGATTCACAACCAAGCTCAACCACTTATTAGCAGAGGTGCGACTTAGGGCCAGCCACTTTTCAGGATCTTGGAATTACCCAAATGGTGATTATACGTATCTACCTTGTAAGGTGTCAGAACAGGTAATACATATCCTGGCATAGAGAAGGTTCGAAAGACAAACAATGGTTATTATTAGAGGGGGTACCTGAGGCTGCACACCACCATCCTTGATCTGACAGGTATATAGACACTTCTGGTCTGGGCACTTCATGCTGGCATATATTCGAGTACTGCAGTAGCCCACAGGGTAGATGGCACTCTTATCATGAAAGCCAGGTCGGTCGGTGATGATCTATAAAAAACATTCCCCCAACCTGGGATTGAGGTCACTGAAGAAATGAGAAGTCCAGTTTCCTGTGGTAGCCTTTAGAACCACTTTGGGGCTGCGAAGAGTGACAAATCACACAAAGACAGAGAGTAGGCTGTGTAGCAGACAACGCTGACCTGGGTTGGCAGGGACTGGAGACATTCTGAGGTTGGTATGGATCAGCAAGGGGCTGCTGCTAATGGGAACAGGGAGGGAAGGCTCAACCCCATTCCCATATTTCTCTGATTCTCCTCTCTAAATATCGCTGGTCTCACTCACCTCCCCCAGGCTATATACTGTTAGACCCCCTAGTCCGATGGGGAACACAGGCCGTCCTGAGGGATCCAGGGCAATGGGCTGAACCAGCTTGCGAGCACCTCCCTCCATTTTCTTTTTCTTGCATGTTTTCTTCAGAACTGAAACGCAAATCTGGGGTCACCCACTTTAGGCCCCTCCCAATGTTGAAGGGAAGGGATAAATTTGCATGTGAATGGTAAGGGTAATAAGCCAATCCTGGTTTTATATACTTACTGAATGGGCACGTGGGGCTTTCGCCCAAAGCCCTGAGTATCTTTCTAACTTGCCCAGATTCGTGCTTAGGAGCTAAAGGCCTTATACTTTTTAAGGCCTCTCATTTCTTTTGTAAGATCAGAAGTTTGCCAAGCCAGCAGTGTGCTCCAAAGGCCACCTAGCCCATTTCCCTGCCTCTAGAAAAGACTAAATGGAATGCAACCTAGAGAGTTGGGGGAAGGGGAGAGTCTCAGTCTGCTCCCCTTGCATTTAACAAAGACTAGCTAGGATTTCTCCACCCAAAGTGGCTCTAATACGTTTGACATTTGTTTCTCAAGGGCTCTTAGGGCTCCTTAAGAACCAGATGAAACTCGAAGTATATCTGTAGCTGTGTCTGTCTGTTAGTACCAGGTCTAACTGTCATTAGTAGGTGAGTCACTGGGACAACTGATATCATCTCCCCAAAGTACCTTCCAGTTTGTTGTTCTCTTTGCCTTTTTCTTTTTTCTCCTTCTTCGATTTCTTCCCAAATGGTTCCTCAGCCCCAGTGCTGGGCCCTGAAATAGGCCCCGCTCCCTGTATAGTTCCCACAGAGCTGGCCACACCATAAGTCAGGGGCAAACTGGAACTGTGGGAAGGAGCTGCAGCCTGTACTTCCCCTTCAGTTAGAGCCTGAAGCTGGAGGAGCTTCTTTAGCAAGTACCTGAGGTCAGGAAGGAAAGGAGCAGAGAAATGAACTTCCATATTGTCTCAATTCAGTATTTTACTCAAGTGCTGGGAAAAGCCAGAACTGTATACAAAGATTACTATGATCATAAAAGAAAGGTTCTTATTAGACCCTATGAATCATAAAGCCCTGGAGGATAATCAATACTTCAAGAGGCCAAGGATAAGAACTGTAGCTTATCTCTTGCATCTGGACGGTTCCTCTACCTTGATGTTGGATGGTGTTAGGCTTCTGAAAGGCACGCTATTTACAGATGTGTATATACCCATTGTGCTTTGCACAGAATAGTATGTACAGAATAAATATTTGTAGAATAAGAGGCAGTTGCTTTTATCACTTGGCTTTTATAATTGGGCCATAAGATTAAATAATCTTAACAAGATTATTTATGAGAATGTGGCAAGACAGCTTTTTCAGAAAGATGAGTAGAAGAGCTGTCTCATCACGTAACTTGAGCTGGCTCAACGTAATTTGGGTGTGCAGGAACCAATGCCATAGGTTAAGTTTCTCTGTACTTGATCAAGTGGCCAAGGGGCTGTGTGATGTGCATAAATCCCACTGGGAAAAAAATCTCCAGAGCAGTAACACCATTATCAATCACCAAAAAGGTGATGCTGAACACAAAATGAAGCCAGCTCACCTTCTTTCTTCTTTTGCTTTAAGAAATTTTTCTTCAAGACGAGCAATTTCATCACAAATAGCAGCATTTTCCTTTAAGTAAAAATTTGAATATAATCATATAAAAATGAATAAACAATCACATTATTATGCTGGGAAGAGGATCCATATTTCAAACCAAAAAAGCTTGTATTACTGAGTGAGGAGGAGGAGCTATTCTACCTTGTGACAAACTATAAATAAATCCATAGGTAAAGGTAGTCAGGTTCTACTATGGGCAGGGTAGCTATGTAATTTATTATCCAATCTGGGACACCTTTGAGTGAAAAGGGGGTACTATTAATGCTTACGTCAGAACAATATGGTAAACCAGGACTGTCCTGGGCAAGCCAAGATTAATGGTCACCCTAATTAGCATAGCCTTTGGCACAGAAAAAGGCATACTGCTTAAATCCACAGATGCTTACATTAAATACTATAAATATGAAGACTATTCTCAAGTGCCTCAACTCTTGAGAAACTTATAAAGCCAGTCTAACCCAAATAGAGAAAAACTGGACAGAACAAATTCAAATTTAGGGTGTAAAATTCTTAAACTTCATAATCTACTTATATGAATTCAGGTATTATCTTTTTTTTTTTTTTTTTTTTTTTTGGTAACTTATGACTCAGTCTATCTCCCAAGCTCCAATCCTGAAGGGAATGATGAATCTGAATGCTCCATAGGTGGAAACTCAAATTCTCAATGTTCAAAACATCCCTTTTTCTTCACAAAATCTTCTTTATTGATGGAACCAACATCCTTGAAATAACATAAGTTCCAAGCTTTAGGTACTTTGACATATAGGGGATAAAAGACAGGGAACAGTCAATCAGATGCCAAGTTCTCTTAGTTCTACTTTTCTTGTTTCTCTCCAGCGCAAATAGCAAGCAATGCACATAGCGAGTGCTGAATAAGTGTTTTTGGAATGTGTATTCTAATTTCTAAACTTTTCCTTATGCTTCCAAATATGCTGAGAGATGTTCAAGCTTTTGGTAGAGAGATGAACTGTTGACTTGGATGTGGGGGGACATTTGAGGACTCCACCCCTATTTCCAAGCACTGAAGCAAGCCAAAATATTCTAATATACAGTTATGGCTGGCAAGCTATATTAAGTTTATTCATTCAATAAATCCAGTGCTTCTACAATAAAAGAAAGGAAGAAACACTTGGAACACTCAAAGGATAGAGGGGGGAAATTACTGAAAGTTTCATGTACCTCTTTGGGCAAGGGGGCAGTTATGGGGATGTGAGGTGCTCAGAAAATAGTCTGTGTACTGGAAGTCATAAAATGGAATCAGGGTTATTTAAGTTGGAGTCAGGGCTCTGACACAGTAGCCTTGGGCAAATCATCTCTTTCTTCAGTGTTCTCATTTTACAAATAATGCCTCATTCTCAGGGCTGTATCTCAAGAATCAAATACATTTCCTAGAGTTCTGCAGTAATAACGATGACTAAAATTTATTGGCATGTCTTTTAGGCACCAAGCACTTTTCTTTGCTCATTTAATATTCATTATTCTGCAAGGTAGTTACCAGCTCATTTACAGATGAGGACACAGAGAAATCACGTAATTTGTCCAAGGACACAAGGCTAACAAGTAGTAATGTATACGGAAAAGCCAACCCTATATTAATACTGTCATCCTGGGAAGGGGGAACAGCTTGGGGAAAGATTTTGTGAGGGGGTCTCCAGGCGGGGACCGGCTGGACGCGGGTCAGACTCACAAACACAGTGGCCTTGGCCGCTTTGCGCAGCCGCAGGTACTTCAGCCGGTACTTCTCGTTCTGGCTCTTCTTCGGGAGCTTTTTCATCCTGGCCTTGCTGGACTGCAGCAGAGCCCGCGGGGAGGAGGCGAGGCCGTCCAGCAGGCTCATGGTCCAGCCCCGCTACGGGGGCCCCAGGACGCTGCCGGCATCGGATCCTAAGTCGGGGGAGCGGGCGGGAGCGCTGGCTTAGTCTGTTCGGGGCTAGCGGAATCGTGGCTCTAGGAATCTAGCTCTCCGGGACGTTCCCAGGGTTGACCGCAGGGCCAGAGACACCGGCAACCCAACCGGCTCCCTGCGCCTCCCAACACTTCCGTGTCTGTCTTGGAAGTAAACCCTTCCCGGAAGTTACGTCCCGGTGTCGGCAGCGTGTAACTTCCGGGGCAGGGAGAGTAGGGCGGTCTGGGCGGTGCGATCCCGGGGGCCAGGAGGAAAGAGACAGCTGGGGGCGAGTGCTGGATGAGGAAAGGAGGGAGGGCCGGCGGCTGGAATCGAATCCGGGCCTCGGGCGTCTGTGTGCTTAGCTGAAGGGTACTATAGTTGAACTAATGAACTAACAAAAATCTTACCAACGCTAGCTGTCCTTCACGCTCCCCCAGCGGGCCACTGCCTTTCAACACGTTTTTCATGCTTCATGCAGACAGGCTTTCCCAGACTGTCTGGGAAAGAGTCCCAAATGCTGGGACTCTGCTTCTTTCCCTGCTTCGTTCCTTTCTGTAGCTCACAGAAATGTGTTTGCAGGGCCTCCTAATGCTATGATCTTCCTAGGAGCTGGGAACACAGTCGTGAATAGGGAGGAAGGCCTTGGCTCTTTCTAGTAGGGAAGATGAGAGATTTAACACGCAGTTTTAATACTGTCTCTAAGTAGGCACTCAGTAGATGTTTGTCTAGTGAAAGCAGAAGTGTATTTGTGTACATAGTTTGTACATTTATACGGTTCTAACTTTACAACCGAGGTCTATTAAAATTAAGGAGGATAGAAGAATCTTTAGGGTGCGGTATTGGTGAATGACCCAGGCTGGATGACAGAAGGCTTGCATCTTCTTCCAGCGATGCCAATAACTAGTTCAGTAACTCTGTAGTTTTTTTCTCTCGGAACTAAACATAGTCTTTAGATTGTAAACTTTATAATAGTGGAGGTGAATGGGATTTCTACATTGTAAAGTACTCTACTGATATATAATGACTGTTATATGTTCAAAATGTAGACTTTTTTTTTTTTTTTTGAGACGGAGTCTGGCCCTGCTGCCCAGGCTGGAGTGCAGTGGCGCGATCTCGGCTCACTTCAACCTCTGACTCGCGGGTTGAAGCGGTTCTCCTGCCTCAGCCTCCCGAGTAGCTGGGATTACAGGCGCCCGCCAACACACCCAGCTAATTTTTGTGTCTTTAGTAGAGATGTGGTTTTACGATGTTGGGCAGGCTGGTATCAAACTCCTGACCTCAGGTAATCTGCCCGCCTTGGATTACAGGGTGAGCCACAGTGCCTGGCCAAAAATACTGACTTTTAGAGTTGTGGAAATTCAGGAAATATGTTACATAGTTAAAACAATAAGTTCACTGAACTATTGGAGAAAAATATAACACTATAGTAAGTAATGTGTAGTCAGAATAAAAAACAGGTTCGGAACTGATGACCCAGGTACTTAATTTCTGAAAACAGTAAAAACAGTGACAGGGTCTTGGCAAAATCATTTTAATACAGACGAAAGCTTATGGAATTCTTGTTTTGATCATATATATTGTAAAGTGCTCTTGTTTGACCTGAGTGAGTTTTTAATAGAGCAGCTCTTCAGGATGCCAGTGTTTCACAAACATACTTAAGGCAGCCATATATATTCAGTTTTGGAAAATACCAGGATTATTTTTAGTGCTTAAAAACCCACACTAATGCCTTTGGTAATATAGACTGGTTCTTTACCTTGGAACTTCAAAGTAGTGCCAGTAATAGGAAAAGACTTTTCTTTCCTTTTTTTTTAAAGTCTTGTTTGCTAATTGCCTGATTTATTTGCTGTTGTGCTGTATTTTGTCCTTGCAGGCTTTGGGGTCTGACTTTATTTGTATTATTTATTTTCATATACATGTATCACATCTAGTGGGAAGAAAAGTGCTATCCTTTGTCCTAGTTTGCAGGCTGTTTTGGCCAATGGACTTCAGTGGGATTTGCATGAAGATATTTTTTGTTTCTTCTTCATTGGAAACATTTCCATACACTTACAAAACATTTCATTTGAACCTTTGAAATTCAGAAAATATAGTACAGGAAAGGTTTAAAAATCCATAATGCTACCACTTGGAATGAACTACTTTTAACATGTTAGTATATGTGTCTAATATTTTATGCATTTTTATATAGGTTAGGTAATACTGAAAATAAAGTTTCCTTTTTGTTTATTTACCATTATATCATTTCAGTTTCACAGATGTTAGTATAGCTTCTTTATAAGCATAATTTTAAGTGGCTGGTTAATATTCCAGTTATGGCTATATTATATTTTGCATAATTATTTCCATGTTCTTTGACTTTTTGGTCAATTCCATTAAAAGCACATCTTTGTGTCCAAAGCTGTTTCCATATAGGACAGTTTAGAGGCTAGATTTGTGTGCTCCACAAAGGTGATGCCACTGAGCAACTCATTCAGTCCTTACTTGTTTAGAAGAATATTTACCTAGTGCCTACTATGATACCACCTTTAAGAACTTTAAGAGAGGAAGACAGACAAGTAAATTGGCAATGTTAATATGGTATGATAAGTTTATTTCAGAGGTAGGTTTTATTTTATTTGGCAGCACCCAGTCAGGGAAGGAGGGAGGAGATAGGAAAGGTTTCTTGAAGGAGATATATATGGGCAGACTCTGAAGGAGAGGTAGTGGTTGGTTGGCCCAGTGAAGAACAAAGGAGGGCATGCTGGGTGGTGGAGACAGCATCTTCAAAGGCTCAGCCTTGTGAGCAGCATGGGAACTGCAAGTAGTTGATTGGTGTGAAAGTTGTGTGTAGAGAGAAGCAAGAGGAGAGACTGAAGCAGTAAGTAGGGTTTGGGTCATGAAAAGTCTTGTGTACCAACTGAAGAGTTGGACTTTGACCTAGTGACAGTAGGAAATCATCTATCAGCTCTTTGCTTGTGTTAGGTAAACTTACCTGAATTTGTCAGAAGCAACATAACTTTTCTACATAACTGTACAAAGAAGGGTGTAAATGGTCTATGCAAAAATTCTCTAAAGAAATGCATAATGTGTAGCTCTAAAAAGAAATATAAAATGGCAGACAGCATGATATTGTGTGTGAGTCTTTGAAGTCAGATCAAAGTTCCATTAACTACAGGCATAGAAATGGGAGTTAGAAGATAAAACAGGGTGATAAATCAGAAGAGAAAGAAGTTCAATAGCATTTTACTGTCTAGCCATTTCTAAGTGCTTGCTATTCAGTGATTAGCTGTAAGGGAAGGCATAGTATCCTCTGGAGTATTAAAAGCATACCTGGCCCTATTAAAAGTTGTGAAGGAGTCTGTAGCCCATAATCCCAGCCCCTGGTGAAATGAGTTCCTGGTTTAGATGGTGAAAACTGTATCTGGGCACCTGAAGGCTCCACTTATGGCTGAGACATAGCCCTGGCCTTGTTCTACTATGTCCTTACATTCTAAGAGCAGATTACAAATTGAAGCCATCATCTCCCAGCACTTTGGAGGCTACAGACATGGACAAGGTTGATAACTTCTACAAAGCAAGCTGGGTAAATTCCTAGGATTTCAGGCCACACTAAAGGGTTTCAAGGGGTTTACATCTTTATTAATCTCTTGCCAGATTGCCTCACTTGCTCTCTGGGGTAAGCTGAATGTGTGTCCAAGAAAGGATATGAAATTGTCTCCATAAATGGCCTTTAGAATCTTCTTTCCTTGCAGCATGTCTAGACTTTATTTCTTTTTATTTATACTGTCCTTATAGAATGTTCTAGACTTAATTTTTTAGCTCTTTGACTCTTCAGCTCCAGCTTTCACATTTATTTCCATGTCTTGATTATGTCTTCTCACTTTTAGGATAACATGATAAAAGATATATGATTCAGTTAAGTCCAAGCTTAGCAATTTTAAAGTGTGTATTTTGTGTGTATGTGTGTGTGTATGTGTATTAGTGTGCATGTCTTATGAGGAAGGAGAGAGACTTTCCACAAAATTTCTGGCTCCATGGTTTCTTAACTATGGGTGTTCATCACATGCCGGGTTGGTGAGATGTTTGGGTTTTGAGGGTTCTAAGCCAGCCAATAAAGTCATAAAATCAACTACTGTGTCAATATTGTGCTTCTGGGTGGTCGTATCCTTTAACACACATAAGACACTCAGCCAGCTAAAAGAGATGAGCTCAGAGACGTTAGCTCGGAGAAAAAGAAGGATCACATTGAGGTCATTGATGGGACATCCTAGCATCTTTCTGCTGAGGAGATCGAAAGCTGGGAGCATCTCATAGACAGATAAGAGTCGTTTGTCCCACCGACATAGCCGTGTGAGGTTGTATATGATCACTGGAACCAATATGGTGTATATTGCTACACTGGAGAGGCTAACAATCCGGAAAATGGACAGTGATGTCAGCCTGCATGTGATGAGGCTGGGGACATGGGTCTCATCACTTAGCAGCCCTGCCTTGATGGAGCAGCTGAATTCTTCCTGGAAGAAGACATCCAGATGGAAATGACCAAGGTATAGGTAAGTTGCGGAGGTGAAGAGGAGCAAGAGGGAGTTCCTCAGGAGGTAGGTAGCCACTAGTGAATGTGAACGCTGCTTACATGCCAGGTACCGCTCTAGCAAAGGGAATTCAAAGTATCGTTCTTTCCGAGCCCTGGGCAGTGGAAGAAAGGAGGCAAGGTTAGTAGTGACCGTTTAGAACCATACTCCAAGAGAGGCATGTGACAAACTAACAGATCTGTTTTCAACATGGCATTCTTGGCTCCCATGAAAATCTGCCTTCCCGGAGCATAACCATCCTTCTCCCCAAAACAGAGACATATGAGTGTATCTTGATTCTCCAAGTACTGACTGCCATGTGAAAAACCCAGTGAATGATCAGTGAGTAATGATTTATTACACTGGATTTCTGCCAAGCAAGGCAGACTAAAGTTCTAAGCTGAAGTAGGATCTTTAGGTAGCAACAGGCTTATGAAATTAGCACTGGATTGGGGGTCTAGCTGAGTGCATTCTGGGCCGGGCATGGTGGCTCATGCCTATAATCCTAGCACTTTGGGAGGCTGAGGTGGAAGGGTCCCATAAACCCAGGAGTTTGAGACCACCCTGGGAAACATAGCGAGACCTCATCTCTATGAAAAAATACAAAAATTAGCTAGGTGTAGTAGTGTACACCTATGGTCCCAGCTACTTGGGAGGCTGAGGAGGGAGGATTGTTTGTGTCCAGGAGATTGAGGCTGCAAGAAGCCAGGATTGTGCCACTGCACTCCAGCCTGGGCAACAGAGTGAGACCCTGTCTCCTCCACCAAAAAAAAAAAAAAAAGAAAAAAAGTACATTCTGGTTCTTGGCCTGTGTACTCTGTGTATGATCTTTGGGCCAATTCATTCATCTCATGTGAATAATTTGGCTCACAAATGTTTGTTGAGAGCTGTGGTGTTCAGGTACATGCAAGTCAGTCTGTGATCTGAAGAAGCTTAGAGCCTGGCTTGTGGGGAAGGGGCAGATAAGACATGCAAATATGGAATAAAAATAGCGCTTGGTTTGTTGCTAAAATCGTGGACACAAACCACAATGGCTGTAAAAGTTAGGAGAGGTAGGCAGCAGTGTGGCCTTCAATGTTCAGAAACCTTTATGGAAAATATTGGCTGAAATCTGGGCTTCAAAACATAGGATTTTTTTTCCAAAGATAGAGTATGTGCATAAATATGGGACAATATGATTCAAATGTTAGCGCAATTGTCCCCTTGGGCCATCTAGCCTGGCCACTGTCTGTAAAACTACACCACTCTCCATCCCTCCAGCTTCCTTCTGCCCCCACTTTTTCTTTTCTTCATACCACTTATTATCTCAGAACATAGATTGCACTCCCACGTTCTGTTTATTTGTCTGTTTCCTTAATAGAATGTAAGCCCCACAGGGATAGGTACAGCTTTGTCTCTCCTGCCCCCGTCCCCCAACACATACACGTGAATGTGTCAGAAGCACCCAGGACAGTGCCTGTAGGCAGGTGGAGGAATAATGACATAGATAAGTGATTTGTTCAGGGGAAAAGGAGGAGGCTGCCTGGGTGCAGTGGAAGGTTTCTGTCACCTGGTAGTTAGAAGTTTGAAAAAGTAGTTGGTGACAGTGTGTTGAGGGCCTTGCACACATATCTGGGAAAGTTTGAGTATTTTTTGGTAGGCATGAAGGGAGCTATTTAAGGTTTTGAAAGGGAGTAGTGTATGAAAGTGGAATTCTAGAGAGATGAATCCCTTTGTGGGCTCAGTGTACACTACAGGAAGAGTCCTTTCTCTCTCCCTTTACAGAAACAATAGAAAGTTAATGAGATGATGTGTTAAGCACTTTGCCCTCTTGAGACGAATGGCATGGAAGATCATTTAAAGATGACTATGCAAAGATATCGTTTAAATTCCTGACTGAATTTCTCAGAAAAAGGTGGTAGAGACAACTCACTTCTCCAGCTCATCCCAGAACACATAGGGGTCAGAGCTCTTCTGCCGGATCTTCAGCATGTGCTGCACCAGGCGGATGGAGCGATTATAGGATTTGTCCAGTTCGCTGATGATGAACAGCAGATCGGAGCTGAGGGCTGGCACAGCTGCATACTGCCACAGCAGCACCGGCAGGTACATGAGCAAGGCCAGGGCCAGCAGGGAGTAGGGGAGGGCCTGCAGGGCGAGAGCAGCTGAGGAGGGAGGCTGGGGCTGCCGAGACCCTGAGTGACAGCGCTGAGTGAAGGGCTCTCCTTTCCCCTGTTCCTGCCTCAGCAGGGGAAGGCTGTGTGGGGAATGGGCTAGCCCAGGCCCAGCCCCCGAGGCACCCTACTGACCTGGCTGAGTATAGGGAGGCCTGCTTGAGAAGGAATGTGCACCTTCATGCTCCCCTGGTTCGCTTTTCTGATCCAGGGTCTGTGTGGGTTCCCAGGGAGAAGAGAGAGAGAAGAGAGAGAGGAAGGGAGGGGAGGGGAGGGCAAGGGAGGGGAGGGAAGGAGAGGAGAGGAGAGAGAAAAGGAGAGAGAGAGTGATCTGCCTACCTCCCTCAAAGTGGTCTGTGCAGCTAGCTAGCTAGGGGTCACGGCCAGCAGAGGCCATGTCATCCTAAGGGAGAGAAAATCCCATTTCCTCCCTGTCGCCTTCCTGGACTCGTCTGATGCACAGTGGCCTTTTCCAATTTTTGGATTCTTGGTAATGCCAAACTACACCATCAGACACTGTCTTGGGATTCTTTGGGGGCTCTTTCAGCTATGTAAATCTATAAGCTGACTTTCACGAATTCATAAGCCTTGTCTCCTCAATGACTGCATCGTTAGCTACCTGCAATAAGGGACTGATACGGGTTGAATTGTGTCCATGTCCTCCCTCCATTCATACATTGAAGTCTTAATTCTTGGTACCTCAGAATGAAACCTTATTTGGAAATGGGGTTGTTGTGGATGCAATTAGTTAATTTAAAATGAGGTCATACTGGAATAGGGTGGACCTCAAATTCATTATGATTGATTTTTTTTTTTTTTTTTTTTAAAAAGCCAGGTAAAGAAGCAGACATGCACAAAGGGAGACTGCCCAGGGCACTGTATCTACAAGCTAAGGAGTGGGACCTGGCAGACCTTTCCCTCGCAGCCCTCAGAGGAGCCAATACTGATGGCACCTTGGTCTTGGACTTCCGGTCTCCAGAACCCTGAGATGATAATTTTGATTGTTGAAGCCACCCAGTTGGTGGTGCTTTGTTTCAGCAGCCCTAGCAAATTAACATAGGGACTTTTCCTTAGGTTTCCTCATCACACTTACCACACCTAGCAGGGTTGGGCCCTGTAAAGTAAAATCTCTACTTGTAAATATTTTCATTTATTTATTTATTTATTTATTTGTTTATTTATTTAATTTATTTTTTGAGATGGAGTCTCGCTCTGTTGCCCAGGCTGGAGTGCAGTGGTGGAATCTCAGTTCACTGCAACCTCTGCCTCCTGGGTTCAAGCAATTCTCCTGCCTCAGCCTCCTGAGTAGCTGGGATTATAGGTGCTCACTACCACACCCGGCTAATTTTTGTGTTTTTAGTAGAGACGGGGTTTCACCATGTTGGCCAGGCTGGTCTTGAATTCCTGACCTCAAGTAGGCAGGCTTAATTCCAACGGCACCCCGCCCTTCCCCACAAATTAAGGTCTGAATGACTCTTGTAGGAGGAAACTGATGAGCCCAGGAAAAAGGACTACAGAGTCAATATTTCAGAAACTAATGAAATAGACCAAAGGGATCACCTTAAACCGAAGTCTGCCTGTTTATGTGCCTCACCCTCAGGCACAAAGCTTCCAATTAGATACAAGTGGGTCACCAAAGATCACCACATTCAGAGAATGCCTGAAACGTGAAAGCAAGTGACTAAAATAAATGGGTTAGGGGTGGTGGGGATAGAGGCAAGAAGGAGTAGAATGAAGTGGTTCTGCCCCACTCCACTCAACCGTGAAGCTGGCCTTACAGAGAGTTTGCTTTACCTTGTGGGGCCAGAGAGATTTCATCTTGTCCTGACCAGGCCTGTCCTGCTCATGGTGAACCAGTGAGTCCCAGCAGGAGCTGTCCACGTAGGCTGCCTGCCGGATGCTGAAGTTACTGGGAGAGAAGCAACTGATCGGAGACCCTGCAACAGGAACACAGCTTTGAGGCCGCCTGAGTTGGAGTGGAGGAGTGGGGACTCAGGGGCAATCGTCTAACTCTTCCTGTTTCTGTTTCTGGCAGGGACTGTCTTCTTCCCACACCTTAGTTTTCTGGGTTGAGCACTGCCACGTCACGGTAGGACAGGGCACTCCTGGACGCATCCCACTGTATGGCCAGGGCTTGCCAGTGCTGACTCAGCCTTTTGGGTCTGGCGGTTCTTTGCTCTCAGAGTACCCCCTGGGCTTTTTGTGCTCCTGTAGTCTGGTACCAGAAGGCTTGTGGTTTGATGGTGATATCTCTTTCCTGAAATAACTGACATCCTTTAGGCTCTAAAATGTTGAGGATTAATTGCCTGGGCTTCTGAGCCTACATGAAGAGAAAGGGTGGGCAAATTATGCCGGAAGGAAAGTGGGCTTGGAGGAGAGTTCCTGCCTTTTTGTTTTCATGTCAGTCTGCAGAAAGAGGCAGAAGTGGGAGCCATTTCTTCTCCCTTGGTTGTGGATGAATGAAGAGGTGGTGGGAGGCTGGCACACCTGTTTGGGAAATGTAGTAAGCTAATGGCACTGCTGGAAAGGAAAGCCAGAAAGAAGTCTCAGTTCTCAGGAAGTCCACATTCTCTTTAACAAAGGTGGCGGATTTGCTGAGTGAATCCAGCACCTGAAGCCCTAGATGTATGTGTATGCTAATGTCTGTGTGTGTGGCTGGGGTTCGCAGACAGGAAGCAATGGGTTTATCCAGCATCTCCAATGTGCCTGGCTCTCAGGCCCTTAATACATATTCTCAAGTCAATAACCCTGGAGTTGGGGGGTTGGGGTGGGAAGAGGGCCCAGAGCAAATAAGAGACTTGGCCCAGCTAAGATGAAGAGGTCTAAAGTCCTAAAAACATTACCAGGGGTGTCAACTTCTTTCATTCATAATGAAAACCAAAATAAAGGTTTGATCATTTGAAATGACATAAAATATATGAATACTAAAATTACAACTTTTTTTTAACTGTAACATTTTGCAGATGACTTTCAAAATTTTTTGGTGCCTCTGCTTTGCTGGCCTGAACTCATGCATCATCTGCCTTTTGGATAATCCAGCCCAGCCCAAAGCCATGGAATCCCATCACTGTGCGCACCATCTCACTTCAGAGCCCATGCACAGAGTGACATGAAGGGGAGTCTCTCTTGCGCACTGGGCCTTGGAAGCAACTTACCAGAGGAGAACTCCTGGGCGAATGCCAGGGACATCAGCAACAAGGGGGAGCCCACAGCTACGAACTTGACTATCCGGTCCAGGGGCAGTTCCAGGCGCAGTCCTTTGAGGCGGGGGCCCCTGCGGTCAGGCAGCAGGGCATCCGAGAGCATGTACTCTGCAGCTGTGTGTGCGAGTGACATGATGCTGCTGAGCTTGGGAGTGCCGAGGTGGCAGGAGGGGTCCTGGGATGGTGGAATGAGGAGATGGCAGCTTCAGGCAGCTGGCTTTGAGCAGACAGTGCCTGCTGCCCCAGCCTTATGGATATCTATGCTGGGAGCAGGCGATGGTTCTCTAAATAACTGCCCAGGCCTTGAGCCAGGCCCTGCTAATTAGAGGGAGGCACAGCCTTAGCGGGTCCTTGCTGGAGGAGGATCGGGCCTCACCTGGGGCTGGTGCCCTACTGTTGTCTGGATTATCCTAGAGCAGATGGAGTTCTGTGGCTTTATGCTGCCCTGTCATTAATAAAGTATTTTCAGCCGGGCGGTGGAGAGAAGGAGGGCTGTGGAACCAAGCCCCCCCATGTAATTGGTGTGGAATTTGGAGGAGGATTGCTTAAATGTTTTGAAGGCACTCATTTTGTGGTTTGGGGTGGGAGTCGAGCCCCCGCGACCCAGCTGGGATTGCTACCCTACACAGTAGTCTTTGTCCCAGTGATGGTTTTTGCTCTGGGCCCAGACTCTTTCCCAGAAACTTTTCTGTGTTTGGTGTTAGATTTCCTTCCCTGACTCTGGTCTTTTTTCCAGAATGTTTCAACTACATATTTACAATTTCCAATTCCTTTTTAGCCCATGGGTTCTTTACAAAGCTAGGGGATGCATGGCAGTGTTGAGTCATGGAAAGAGCATAACCTTTGAAATTTGGAGGGAAAACTCCTCCACTGGAGACCTAGGAGTACCCAGGTTTTAACTGTGTGACTTCAGGCCAGTCACTTTTAGCTCAGTTTTCCCATCTCTCAAATGGTAGTATGTAACAAGCTTACAAGATTGGGGGGATTGATTAAGAGTATTGTTTGTGAAGGTACTTTGTAAACTGGAAAGTGTAGCAGAAGTGTCAGCTCTTATTTCAATTTGGTGGGGGTGGGTGAGTGGAGAATAGGGCACTCTTGTCTCTAGTGTTGCCCTTAAACTGGCAATAGAGGCTCTTAACTTTATCCTCTTTGGTTGTGCCCTTCTCATCAGGCAACGAGTACATGGGCTCAGATGGATGTGTCCATTCAGAGTGTGTGCAGCCAGCTAGAAACCACTCTGTAAGGTCCTGCCCAAATGGCCCAGCCTACTTCCCAGACCTGTATGGGCCTTTTTTTCAGGGGTAACCTCCCAAGGGAAGATTGTGCTGCTGGTGTGCACTTCTAGGCCCAAGGAATGGCTGGCTGTCGGGGTTTGGATGCAATTTATAAGTCTTGGGGTGTCCACACGTGCAGTTGTGAGGTTTTTTGCAATGTGGGCGTTAGCTGGGTTGGGAAGAGAAGATTGGGCCAGGGACCTGGGAGAGTCTGAGGATTCTAAATTTGAACCTGGCATTCCTGATCATTATGAAGCTGGGGTGTGTGTGTCTATATATGTCAAGCAAGGATAACATATTTTATTCAACAGTTTGTTAACTTGGTTTATAACTTTTAATATTTTAGATATATGGTATGTGGACCTCTATTTGAACTTTTTTTTCCTAGGCCACAAATGTTTGGGCTGGGTTTACCTCTCTCCCACCCCACAGGCTAGAGGCCCATTTGGATTCAGAGCTGCCCTGCGTGTGCTAACTGGAGTGTATGAGTCATGGGGCAGCAGGAGGGATCCTTTATTTCTCTTCCCCATTTCCCTCCCCACACCACATTTCTGTATCTTTGAATTAGCCATGTTTTTGACAAATGTTTATTATTAGTTTGTATGCATGTATGTCCTTTTACTTTTTAAAAATACATTTTTATTGAGAAATAATATACACACCTTAATACTGTGTCTAGCGTACACTACTTGTGTGATGGGTGCACTAAAATCTCAGACTTCTCCGCTATACAATTTATCCATGTAACCAAAAATGATTTGTACCCCAAAAGCAACTGAAATAAAAAATTTAAAAAACCAAAAACCAGAGAAAAATTCATATACCATAAGGATGCAGTTTAATAAATATTCATCTGATCAAGAAACAGAACATTACGAGCACCCCGGACACCACCTCTGTGCTCCTTTCTTCTAGCTTTTCCAAACGGTAAACGTTATATACACTTCTAATTGATTAGTTTTGCCTTTTTATACGTTATGTAAATGGAATCATGTGCATGTGTTTATGTGTCTGGATTCTCTGCTCAGCGTATTTTTGAGATTCACCATGTTGTTGTATGTACCAGAAATGCATTTCCTCTGGGTAGATATATAACAATTTGTTTATCCATTCATAAGCTGACAGATATTTGGGTTTTCAGGTTCTGGATGTTAGAAGATACTGTTGCTGTGAACATTCTAACATGTGTCTCCTGGTGAATACATGTACGCATTTATGCTGGGTACATAGCGAGGGGTGGAATTGCTAGGTCGTAATGCTATGCATATGTTTATCTCTATAGTTTTTCAAGAGGTTGTATCAGTTTACACTTTCACCAACAGCTTATGAAAATCCTAGTTGCTGCACATCCTTGACATTACACCTTTGGAATTAAAAAATTATTAAAGCCATTTTGGAAGGTGTGTAGTAGTAGTACACTGTGGTTTTAACTTGAATATCTCTGTCGACTAATGAAGTTGGCTACTTTGGCCGTTTGGATATTTTCTTTTGTGAGTGTATGTTTGAGTCTTTTGCCTTCTTTAATGTTGGGTTGTCTATCTTTTGCTTATTGATTTGTAGTACTTTTTCAAATATTCTGAATATGAAACCATTGCTAGCTACATGTTTTATTTATATCTTCTTCCACTCCACTGGTTGCCTTTTCATTCTCTTAATGGTGTCTTTTGATGACCAGAAGTTCTAATTTTAATACAGTCCATGTATTATTTTTTTTTCTATGGATAGTGCTATATGTATTCTGTTTAACGAACCATTGGTTATTAATTACAATGCCTTGAAAAATGTTTCTGACGTCGTCTCCAAAATATTTTTGTGTTATGTTTCTCATTTGAGTCTGCAGTTCATCTATAATTTTTTGTAACATGTGGTATGAGATAGAGGTCAAGAAATATTATTTTCCATATGGCTATCCAACTGACTCAGCACCATTTATTGTAAGACCAGTCTTTTCTCATTGCAGTGCAGTGTTGTCATGGTCATAAATCAGGTGACTCTGTTCCAGCTGACAATTTGTCTTTTTTTTTTTTTTTTTCCCCACACTACACTATCTTAGCTAGTACAGCTTTATAACAGGTCTTGGCACCCGCAGTGTAGATCTTCCAGTTTTATTGTTCTTCCGGATTGCTCTGGTTATTTTTGATCTTTTGCATTTCTACATGAATTTTACAATCAGTTTTTGAATTTCAGCAGGAAAAAAACCCGCTAGAATTTTTTGATTGTGACTTTAATTTACAGTTTAATTTGGGAAACATTGCCCTCTTTATAGCATTTAGTTTTCAAATCTATGAACATGGTATATCCTTCCATTTGTTTAAGACTTATTTCTGAAGCTGGGCACGGTGACTCACACCTGTAATTCCAGCATTTTGGGAGGCCGAGGCAGGTGGATTACCTGAGGTCAGGAGTTCGAGACCAGCCTGGCCAACATGATTAAACCCCATCTCTACTAAAAATACAAAACATTAGCTGGATGTGGTGACAGGCACCTGTAATCCCAGCTACTTGGGAGGCTGAGGCAGAGGAATTGCTTGAACCCGGGAGGCGGAGGTTGCAGTGAGCTGAGATCGTGCCACTGCACTCCCGCCTGGGCAGCAAGAGTGAAACTCTGTCTCAAAACAAACAAATAAATAAATAAATCATAAAGACTTCTTTCTGTGCATAGCAACTTTTGGTTTTAAGTGTGGGTGTTTTACACATCTATCGCTGGATTTATTCCTAGGTATTTGATGTTTCTTGATGCTATTGCTAACCATGTATTTTTTAGAAAATTTATTTTCTAATTGTTTGTTGCTCATATATGGAAATACAACTGATTTTTGTACACTGATCTTGTGTATGTCAATCTTATTGAATTCATTTATTGATTCTAAAAGTTTGTAGATTAATTTAGATTTTTAAAAATCTATACAACCATATCATTTATGAAAAATCAGTTTTCTTTCTTTCTTTCTTTCTTTCTTTCTTTCTTTCTTTCTTTCTTTCTTTCTTTCTTTCTTTCTTTCTTTCATCTTCATGCCTTTTATTTATTTTCTTGCCCTATTACACTGGTTAGGCCATCCAGTATAATATTGAATATGAGTAGTGATAATGGGTATCCCTGCCTTGTTCCTTCTCTCAGAGGGAAAGTTTTCAGTGTTATTATTGAGCAGGATGTTCATTGTAGGTTTTTTTCCTTTTTTTTTTATTGGTAGGCATTCTTTTTCACATTAAAGAAGTTCTCCTTTATTCCTAGCTTGCTAAGTGTGTTGGATATGAGTGAATATTGCATTTTTAAAAATATATTTCTTGCATACTTTGAGATGCTCATATGATTTTTAACTTTATGTGTATTATTGCGATGAAATATATTGATCAATTTTTGAATGTTAAATTACTCTTGTATCTGTGAAGTAAATCTCACTTGGTTTCAGTTTGCTAATATTTTGTTAAGGATTTTTACATTTCTATTTTAAAAGGAGAAAGAACTTGATTTAATTTTCCTTCTTAATAAGGTCTTTGGCAGGTTATGCTGGCCATACCAAAAGAGTTAGGAAGTCTTTCTTCTTTATCTGCTTCCTCTTGTAAGAGTTTGTGCAATATTGGTATTATTTCTTCACTAAATATTTGGAAGAATTTGCAGGTGAAACCATCCAGTCTTGGGATTTTCTTTGTGTGGAGTTTTAGTAATGGATTTAATTTCCTTAGTCAATATTTGACTGTTCAGATTTTCTTTTTTTAACTTTTACTTTATTTTATTTTTTTTTGATATGATATACGAAGTCTCACCCTGTTGCCCAGGCTGGAGTGCAATGGCGCGATCTCGGCTCACTGCAACCTCCGCCTCCCAGGTTCAAGTGATTCTCCCACCTCAGCTTCTGGAGTAGCTGGATTATAGGCGTGTGCCACCATGCCCACCTAAGTTTTGTGTTTTTAGTAGAGATGGGGTTTCACCATGTTGGCCAGGCTGGTCTGGAACTCCCGACCTCAGGTGATCCCCCTGCCTCAGCCTCCCAAAGTGCTGGGATTACGGGCGTG